TTCCATGGGCCTGAAGACCTTTGCTAGTCACATTTTCTGAATATCCATGATACAAATATTTTATTATTAAAAATTGATGGTCATTATGCTGTTAAACATTATGTAATATTGCATCAAAATTTGAAGAAACCCTTATTTGGGGCACTGCTTCCATGATGACCATTTAAGGAAAACCATGTCACTTACTGTTCTCAAACTTACAGGAAAGAAACACAGGACTAAAATACAGCTTCAGTAAGCAATGCAGTCTTTTTGGTAAATTTTTCTGGCAATTAAACAGTTTTTTTGTGAAAATTTAACTTTTCACATATTGGCATTTTCGAGGTATGACTTAGAACCTCCACGGGCTTGAAGACCCATGCTAGTCATATTTTCTGAAAATCCATTATACACATATTTTATTATTAAATTTTGGGTGCTGCTGCCATGATGACCATTATGGGAAAACCATGTTACTTATGATTGCCAAACTTTCAAAAAAGAAATACAGGACTAAAATGCAGCCTGAGTTGGAGAAGCAGTCTAATTGGCTTCTTTTTCTGGAAGTTATACATTTTCAAAGTGTGAACTTGTTACACATTTTACTTACATTGGTATTACCTGTTGAGCATATTTAAAATTTGATGTTGAATTTGCAGTTTAACATAATGTACTTTTGCATCAGAATTGACAGTAGCCTATTTTGTGCATAGTTATATCCTGTTTTTTGTCTGTACATTTGACAGCTTTGCTGCCTTGTTTATTATTGGGGTTTTTGTTGTGTCAAATAGATATAAACTTTGGGGTATTTTGGCAGTACAAAAGAAGAAAACTACAACAAAAGTAATTAATACTTTATTAATTATTATTTGTGTGGCATAGTTCTAGCCACTGCCTGCTTGAATGGAGTGCATCTTTTTGCTTCTTTTTATTTATATTCAATCAGAAAGTATGTTATTCAACTATTAATTTTTTTTACTTATAGGATTCAGCTTGATTGAAAAGTAGATTTAGTATTGCTATGTCATGTATAATTTATTGTTACTGATTGCCTCTTGATGTTCTTTTATAGAGATTAAAATGAGACTGAGAAAAAGGAACAAAGTATCTGATGAGCCTGGAAATTCACAGTTTATGTTCTGTGAGTATTATTTAAGTTTAAAGATATTTCCAATCAAACTATGAGGAAATGCTAGCAAAAGTGCAGACACTGGTCTGTGGTAGTATTTTTCAGTCAGTTAAACATTGAACTATTTGGTATGTTTTTTTTTACAGTATTAATATTAGATCGACACCATAAACTTTCAGCTGCTGATTCTCGTGTGGTGGAGCCCCAGGTAAATAGCCTCCCTGTAGGTATATCACTGACTGGAGTGACCAAGGTGTTTACAGAGAATGGCAAGGTGGCTGTGGATGACCTAACACTGGACTTTTACCGTGGTCAGATCACTGCTTTCTTAGGCCACAATGGGGCAGGCAAGACCACTACCATGTAAGTTAAGCCCTTCAACATTATATTGTTTGAAAGTAATTTTATATATAGGTCTACTTTTCAACTGAAAGAGCATTTTTAAAAGAAAAATTAAAAATTGTGAAAATATTTTTAATGGACAGAAACATTTTATACTAAAAGCAGTACATATGCTTTGGGATGTACACTAAGCTTGAATATTATCCCTGACTGATAATTTCAAAATGTTATTCTATGCAAAAATAATGCAAAAATTGGTCACTTTTTATTTTGTTCATAATGATTATATGCATGCAATGTTATGCAAAATTTGTAGACAAGTAATTCTAATTATGTCAAAGTTAACCTGTAGGTCATATTACATATTTATTTTGGTAGCAACATGCTGACTGGTATTGTGGCGCCCTCTCAAGGCACTATCGTCGTTGATGGGAAGGACATCTCTAAAGAGTTCAGTAAACTGAGGGGACATGTGGGATACTGCCCACAGGAGGATGTCTTGTTCAGCTAGTATGTATCAGTGGTTCCACTTCATTTAATTATGTTGATATTAAAAGTACATAATATGTGAGAGGGATGGTTAGAACACTGTATGGTTAGTGTTCCATTCATGTGAATTAATGTTGACTGTGCAATTATTTGAGTTGCTTTGTATGAATGTGTGGGAGTGTTGCTCTTTTCTTTGAAATGCTAAAAAAATGTGCAGCAGCAATATTTATAGATCTTGCTTTTTGTATAGTGTTGATAAATCATTTTTCTACAAACATTCTCTGTCATGACCAAATCCACATCATTGGTACACCCTTTCCATTTATATCTAAATAAACAATATATCCCTGATATTTGTATCTTAATGTTTGTCTTACAGCCTGAATGTCCAGGAGCATCTTATGTTCTTTGGCAGACTCAGTGAGAAGTACAGCAAAAGTGAACTGAAAAATAAAGTGGAAGAGATGCTGAAAGATATAAAGATGGAGCATGTTAGGAAGGAGGTGGCATCTAACTTGTCTGGTAAAATTTAATTTTCTTTCTTTACTTTGTGTATAGTTGGTTATTTTTGCTTGATGTATTTATCTCAGAAAGTAATTAATAATCTGCTCATATTAATATCATATTATAATGAAATTATATCACTTTTTATTTCTGTTTTATCAACTTGTTACTTATGACTTTTTGTCTATATGAAAAAAATACACAGATATTCTATGCAGTTAAAAAAAGATTGGCACCTGCTCTTGTGTGGCATTGGAGAAGTCTGTATGTGTTATATGAAATAGCTTGGTTTCTGTTTATGCTATACTTTTTCTAGGTGGTATGAGGCGTCGTCTGTCTGTTGCTGCAGCTTTTATTGGTGGAGCAGAAACCATTGTACTGGATGAACCAACTGCTGGTGTGGACCCTGCTGCCAGGAGAGCAATATGGGAACTGATATTGAAATATAAAGAGGGTAATTATGACATGCATTCCTTAAAAGGTGTTTATGGCACAAATATATAACATGTCTCAGTTTTTCAAAGTAAAGAGAAAAAGAATTTTTTAATTGGTATGTTTTTAAAAATTGGTACCTTTCATAAAAACATACTGGACCTTCAGATTTATCACACTGCCGCAGGGTAATATCTAAATCCTATTATTCTCTGTTTGAAGGCAGAACAATTCTGTTGTGTACCCACCACTTGGATGAAGCAGACGTTCTCAGTGACAGAACAGCCATTATTCATAAGGGCAAACTCCTATGTGTTGGCTCTCCCTTGTTCTTAAAGAGACACTTTGGAACTGGACACAAACTGACCATTAGTAAGAAACCAGGAGCAGTTGGTGAGTTAATTGATTAATTTATATATACACACATAGTATACAAATCATACATCATACATATGTGTAGTGCCCAGTATTTTGTCAGATATAATCGTTTATGATTGTTATTTTTATGGGCATTTGTTTTACATTTTCAGGGGATGAATCATCTCAGAAAATCCTTGATTTTGTCACCCGCCATCTTCCACTGGCTTCACTCATTGAGGAAGTTGGTACAGAGATGACATTTGGACTTCACCTGAACCAGGGACAGTCAGGAACACTGGAGAAGTTCTTCCTTGTGTTGGAGGAAAATCCAGAATTCAAAAACATTGTGAATGGTTACGGAATCTCAGAAACAACCATGGAAGAGGTCAGTACTAAAAAAACATGTCAAGCTGGCTATCTTAAGATAGGTATCCTACTTGTGAAGGATTATTTCTTGTGAATAATTATATTTTGCATAAACCTGTAGTACTACAAACACACTCATATTAAGTTTAATGTTACATGTACATTATTAAACCAGCAAAACCTCTGTGTGACTGTATATATGCTATTTGATAAAATATGAAAATTGAATCAGGTAAATTTTGAATAATAAAGAATTTGAGGATTTCAGATAAGTTTTTTGTTTTGTTCCTTTTAAATGAGAGAATTGTTAGGTTTGTTAAAATGTGTAAACATCGATCAGCACATGCTATTTTCCCCTGAATGAATTCATTTGAAGCAAAAAGAGTTATTATTTTACCCATTCATTGTGTCAAGCATATTTGCAACTTGTATTCAAGATATCTAGATCTGCAATATTGTTCTTTTGCAGGTATTTTTGCAAGTTTGTTCAAATGCAGAATCTGGAAGACTACTGAATACTGAGCTGGATGCCTCTGTGGATAAAGAGGAAACCCCTACAGAACAGAACAGTGAGTTTTCTCTGCCAAAATCTTTGGATGTGCAACCAGCAATTTGATACTGAAATTCTCTGTTGAAACAAACTGTTTTGATAGTTTCATAAGAAACAAATTCAACAAAAATGTAATCTTTTTTCATTTAGTAGATATTATTTTTTAATTGTGTCAAGTACAGTGTTTTAATTTTAATAAACTGATTATGAAATGTATTTTGAGACATTTTGATATGCTTAGTTACTACATACCTCCTTTGATTTGTGAAATTTCTTTATTACATTTTACCATGCTTCTGTCATATATTCTCATTGAAAAAAAAAATTTTAAAACTTATAATATTAGAAGCATTTATTATTATTATCGTTGTTCTCATTGAATAATCTTATTTATTGTACAATGAAATTCACAGGAATAACCAGAACATGGAGCATGGAGGCAACTGAGAAAACACCCAGAGCAACAGGAATCAGGCTGAGGCTACAGCAATTTGGAGCTCTGATTGTGAAAAGATTCCACCATTACAGGCGAGACTGGAAGACATTTGTCCTTGGGTTGATCTTGCCCATGGCGTTTCTGATCCTGGCACTTGGTCTGTCTTTGATCAAACCTCAGATGGCTGACATGCCTTCCATCCCCTTGATGCCCTCTTTGTATGATCCAGACCATGTGTTTTACAAGTAAGATGTAGGACTTGCCTGTTCAAAACTGACAGTTACAGACAAAAATACTGTGCATAATGAAAATAATATTTTTTACTGATAATACAATAATTGCTTGGCCAATGTTTCTATACTACAGTTGTAGCTTGTGTTTACCTTATTATGCCAATACATATGAAACTAGCAGGAAAATTCAAGGACTTGTTTATCTAATGCCTTATGATGGTATGTAGGCAATATAATAGACAATCACTGTACAGCAGTATCTCTGGCATATCCTACATAAAATGGTAACAAGCAAAATTAGTGATACTAATTTTTGTAACAGTTATTTAAAAGTATGGATTAAAGTTTTAAAAAGTGATATGTTGATGCAAGAATTGCCAAGTACTTACTGTCTGATAACATGTTAATTTTTTACATTTCAGAATTGAGAATCCAACCCCATTCAATCAACGCCTAGCCTCCTTCCTGACTCAGGACATTGGTCTGGGCACTAGATGTATGCCAGATTTTGATGAAAAGTGAGTATTAAACAGATTTGTGACTTCCCTGAATGTCTTAATCCCAGCAGTTACAATTGTGGGTTGCCAGTTTGTAGTTCTCAGATATATTATTACTTGCGAATACTTTATACCAGTACTATTACATTAATTTTGTCATGTGGTATGGGGATATGAAATACAATTGACTGAATAAAGAATACGTTCAGAAGAAAACATTCAGAGGATAATCTGATCTGTATAGAATTACAAAGATTAACAGATTTTCTCATTCATTACTAGTTATTACTATGCATCAGTTTTCAACTATATGGTTAATGCAGATCTGTAGGCCTGTAGGGAGGGGGTCCAAAAGAACCACTTGGCCAGAAAAGGTCCACTCTGAATCACAATTTGATCAAGGTTCTATGCCGTATCTCAAGTTGGGTCAATGGAAAGGGTAAAACGATCCACTTTTCAGAAAACTATCCCCCCCCCCCGAAATTGCTGGCCTTTTAATTGTTTATGGAAAGTAAAAAAAAAAACTGTCACATTTTTAAACAAAATTCTAAATTTCAAATTTAAATTCCAGGAGTTCCTATCCCTGCTCTAACACAGCTGAACCTGGGTTTGTCACTGGTGCCAATAACTCTGACTGGCTGCCATTGTGTCATTGTGAGGGAGGCAAGCAGATATGTGAGGGAGGATCTAATACTAACCCTCCACATATGTCACTGAACTCCACCGAGATCTTGTACAACCTAGATGGATATGATGTACAGGACTATCTTGAGAGAACACATTTTGACTTTGTCGAGAAAAGGTAAGTCAGTAAATGCAGTTGGGGCTATGAAAGTAGGATACAGATGTCTGCAATTAAGAAACTGTGACCTCTAAGAAAAGGTTGCTTTTAATTAGATAACTAGAATTAAACATGCATGAAACATAATTATGCATGATTTTTCAGAATACATTGGGAGTTGGTTAAAGTAAGTCAGTTAAAGTGGAACACCATATTGTTAATTAAATAAAATAGATAGAAATAAATAAATAAATAAATAAATTATAACAATATGAAAAATCTGTCCTTTTTATTTCTTATAATTGCACTTGGTATAGTTCCCACATTGACACCCAACTTGAATTCAAGTGAAGATGAATTTTTCTCAATATATTTCCAGATATGGAGGGTTCACGTTTGGCAATGCCAGCTCCAACTTGGATGTGGACCAGAGCATCACAGTTCATTACAACACCAAGGGCTATCACGCCATGCCTGCCTTCTATAACACCATCAGTAACCTCCTCCTGAGAGCCAACATTGACCCACTGACACAGGGAGACCCAGAGGAGTATGGTATGTATAATATGTGCATGTACACACACACACACACACACACACACACACACACACACACACACACACACACACACACACACACACACGTATGAGCATATAAGCACACCCTTTCCATCTCTACGCTTACTAATTGACATAAGAGTTTTGGATGAATGACTGAATGAGGTTGACGTTGAGCATTAAGGGGAAATATCAACACCATTATCAATATTTCATAATTTGCATCTTTTGCCTTCAACTGCAGTTTCTATGTTCTAATTGGTAAAATCTCTATGTATCCCCCTAGCAAATAGTATTTCTCAAGTTACAGTCAAATTTGATTTTTACAGGTATCACTGTATATAACCATCCATATAAGTTGAGTAAGGAACAGCTGTCCAAAGAAGCACTGTAAGTATTTATTTAAACTTCAATCATTTGTATGTCATTAAGGAATACTTAAAATACTTGCATTTTGATTTGAATTTGATTCTTAATCATTGACTTGTGCATAACAGGCAGTAACTATCATTATAGTAAATATCAGATGTTTATGTTATTGTTTGGAAATATTAAAATATTCTCTTTGGATTTTGCAGATAAAAAATGTTTGTTTTGTTCTCTTTTCAGGATTAATAAATTAGCAGATCTGGGCATTGCACTGATGATCCTGATTTCGTTCAGTTTTATACCGGCTTCTTTCACCCTGTACCTGGTCTTGGAGCGGGTGTATCACGAGAAAAGACTGCAGTTTGTGTATGGAGTGAAGTCTTTGACTTACTGGGCAGCCACCTTTGTGTGGGATTATGTAAGTTAATGTGCACCTGTAACATGCTTTTAAATAACAACATGAAAAAATATATTGTACATCTCCATTATCTTTGTTTATCTTTTCACTTCAGTAAGCTTATGCAATCTACTATGAAAAGTGAAAAAGTGCAACAGAATATTGAAAACTAAGTATTTTAAAATATAGGCTGGTGTCATATTGTAAAATATAAATCCTTCATAATAGATTTGGTCTCATTCATTAACAACAATAATCATACATCAACGTTCTATACATATGCTTACCAAATAAGGAACAAATACTATGGTGAAGATTTGTTTTACAATCAAAATAATAATCCCTAATACACTGTTTTTATCATTATAGCTGGTATACTTAGTAGTGGTTGCTGTGGCCGCAGGAATCCTGGCTGCCTTCCAAATTGATGCGTTTTCTGCTAATCTTAATCTAGCTGCTACAGTTTCACTGCTCATCATGTTTGGGTTAGTTGAAAAGTTTTCTATTTCTGTATTAGAAGAGCTAGGATAAGTTAATTCTGTATTGTATTGTGGAAGCTCCACTTTAAACTGAGAAAGTGTGCAAGAATAGTCTTATTTGGACTAATATGCTAATCATCATATTTGGTTAAGTAGTATAAATTGTTTCTTGCAGTTGTCACAAAGGTAGAGAAGTGATAGAGAATTAATAAGTAAACAATGGTCCAAATCATCACAATCACCTTTTCAATTGCCTGATTAATTTTGGTCAAAGCAACACATACAAAAAATGAAGTATAAAGATTATCCAGAGTCAGTCTGTATTTTCAAATATGATTTTATTTCAGATTTGCATGCCTGCCCCAGATGTACTTGATCCAGATGCTGTTCAAAGATGCCTCCATGGTTTTCCTGACTCTGTTCTCGTTCAATCTGGCCACTGGATTTGTCACCAGTCTCATTGTGTTCATGTTCAGCATGTTCCCTGTAAGTTTCTTTTTTTTTTTAATTATTTATCCATTATATTTATAGGACAAGTTGTGGAATTGAAACATTCCTTTTGTTCAAATTTAATGATTAATTGCAATAATTTTATATTTCCAGACCCTGACAACTGCATCTGATGTCATAGGCTATGTGCTGGTTGTGCTTCCACAGTTTGCTTTGACATCTGGTTTGGTAAAACTCCTGAGAAACCAACTGATAGCTGATGTGTATCAGAACTTTGGACAGAATGCCTACCAGAACCCATTCAACATTGATTTTCTTGGTATCAACTTCATTTTCCTGGCGGTGAATGGTCTGGTCTACATGATTTTGTTGATAGTGCTGGATGATAAAGTATGCTGCAACACTGGGTGAGTGGCCATATCATCTTCAATTAATATACTCCAATTCTTCCAGGAATTCTCTTCTCCTTACAAATCAAGTCAATTAATGACAGTTCAAAGTCTGTTATCTATCAGATGCTAATACACCTTTTTTCCATTTAAAATTATTCGATGGATTAATGGTATAAATGACAGACTTGAATAATAAACCTTTGCAGAGATAGCAGAGAGTAGTTCACAAATGGCATAGCTCCAGTACAAGTAAAAACATAAGAACCTTTGATACTAATACTGATATAAGCTTTTGTCTGTATTTTAGAGTCAAAGAGCAAAAAAACCATTCACATGTGAAAGAAGATGAAGATGTCACTGCAGAGCGCAGGAGAGTGGCTTCTAGTGCACAGAATGACACCATGACATGTAACACCATATCTAAGGTATAGTGGAGGACTATGATATTAGTAAAATGTTTGTTTTTGGAAGTAGGAGGTAAAGAATTGTTGCTCTCTGATAGGTCCAAGCGTATCCAAATGATTTATCAGGGATTCCAGGTGGGGCACCTGCTGAAGATTGTATTCCAGCCGGCGTAATAAACTGTGTAAGCTGTAACAACTTGATGGAAAATTTTGAAAAAAAAATTATAATGGCAATTTTGCAAAAAAAATGAAAGTGTGTGAGAGAATCCTAAGCCCCAAGTACATCTGCAGTTGCAATTTCATATATCATATATGTAAACTGGTAGTATGAAAAAAAAAGATTAAAATGAACAGATATTAAATGAATGATAGCTGTCTTTACCATTACAATTGTGCATTTTTAGGTGTACAGGACTAAAGGCCTGAGTAAAATATTGGCAGTGGACAAGGTTAGCTTTGGTGTCCAGAGAGGAGAGGTAGGTCAACATATTTAACAATATAATTATAGGGGTTACTGTGTGTAGTATCATGACATATGTATAATTTATGTATGTATCAAATTTCATGTTTGAGTCACATACTTTGGCAAATTTTCAGTAATTTCTAAGTTTTTATTGGTGAATTAAAATATGTTCTTTTTTAGGTTACATAATTATCAAGTACTATTTAAACTGATAATGTCTGTGTTTTCAGTGCTTTGGTCTACTTGGAGTGAATGGAGCTGGCAAAACTACGACATTTAAGATGATCACTGGAGACTTGAAGCCATCTGCTGGGGATATTGATGGGCAAGCTCTGTAAGTATTTGGCTTAATATGGCATTTCATAGTCCAGATAGAAACGAGCTATTAATCTTTTTGATTGAACATTTGAACTACCTTAATACTTTTTAATGACAGATTTAGTCTCATGAAACGCTGTAGTTTAGACTGACGTATGCCATATATTTGCAGCTGAGTTTAATAGTCTTGGCCAACCCAAGGCCCCAAACATAACAGTTATGTATAACATAACACCTGTCCGAAATTCCAGGTGTGGTGATGTAGGGTACTGTCCACAGCTTGACCCAAGCACCTACCTGACTGGAGAGGAGGTCCTTACTTGTTATGGCAAACTGAAAGGATTGCAGGGAGCAGATCTTAATAGGGTACTTACAAATTACAGATAATTATGCTTTGTTAGAAATAGAATTATTTGTTCATTATCCTGTGAGATTTATTATTTTTGAAGGTAGTGACTTGAAATTCCCACTTCAGTATCAGTGCCATTCTTTCACTATATTCCAGGCTGTGGAGACAATCATTGACATCCTTGGACTACATGAGTTTGTGAAGAGGAAAGTACTGACCTACAGTGGTGGACAGAAACGGTCAGTGTCCACTGGTGTGGCTATACTGGGCAATCCAGCCATGGTGCTTCTGGTAATTATACTTTTTACCTGAAACAGTTTTATATTATCAGATATTTTATACCTATCAAAAAATTACTAAAATCACACTTTTCATAACACTGAGAAAACTAATTTTCTTAAAGAGGAGCAATTGATTTTTTTAGCAACATTAACACACACACACACACACATTTTTTTTTACTTAATAAGAATGAACATTTTAATGATTTTATTGACTTTTAGGTTCTGAAAACATAAACCACAACAGACTGCATTTTTGTCACACATTTAAAACAAAGATTTATTTGTAAATAAATAGTAAGTTTTAAATAGAGACTTATATAGAGTTTAGTGTTTCTCAATTTTAGTAAAGCAAGTTTTTTTTCTTCCATGAGGACACACCCACAAAAAACAAGACTTAAAACCACATTTTTGTCAAAAACCATAAAAATATGTTTATTTTTACTGTGCAGGATGAACCCACAGCAGGCATGGATCCTAAGACCAGGAGGAATGTATGGAAGGTGATTCAGGAAACTGTGAACAGTGGAAGATCTGTGCTTCTCACTTCACATAGGTAGGTACATGCATGTGGACATACAGAGTGCATATAATTAGGGAAGTGAGCTTTATATTTTACATGTGTTATTATCCATCACATGGGTACTGGTTTCTTATGGGCACTGGTACTAATGATGATGATGGTGATGATTATGAAGATGATGTTGATTGTATACACACCAGTATGGTCACTAGTTACATTTGCTGTGATGATTGATTCATCTATAACAAGAAAGAGCGACCTTTGTTTAATATGTGAAGAGTCATATATATATTAACAATATTTCAGTATGGCTGAGTGTGAAGCACTATGCAGCAGACTGGCCATTATGGTGAATGGGAGTTTCAGGTGTCTGGGAAGTCCACAGCATATTAAGAACAAGTAAGTGACTTTTTTTTTTGCAAATGCTATTAGGTACTAAACATGATGAAATTTGCAATGTAATATCTTTTTCATGTTTGTATGATTGCTTTTGCCATCAAGAGATTCTTTGTAAAAAAAACTAACAAATTACTCATTTTGTGGCAAAATGTATAAAAACAAATAAGGATATTCCCACAAGTAACTTTGAACAAAATGATTCAGTCAGGTTGACCTGTTTACTATGATCAAAATTTGGACACTTTGTTAGGTTTGGAAATGGGTACACTGTGAACTTGAGGATGAGGAGTGATGGTTCAGATGTGAAGGCTGTGAGAGCTGCTCTAACCAGTAGATACCCAGGAGCTGTGATAAAGGTGATAACAATAAGATCAATCTTGTTTATGTTATCAAGTACATTTATCTATTATTTTCTGGAGATTTGATTAACCTGAAAAATATTTCAGGCATCACTCAAATTATTTGCTTTGTTCAATTGTGACAGAACTTGGAAAAAAGATTTGCCTTCCTAACAACCTCAAATTAAGTGTGACCAACAACAGTTTTAATGGAACTGACAAAGGCGCAAACTAAGGCTCCGTTCACATGACAAGTCCATTTTCTAAAAATCTATTTTCTATTCTCGGTATCTTGTGATCACGGTCTGTGCCCTGAATACCCCGCAGCGTAATTACTGGCAGCGCGAGCCAGTTACTTCCAAAGCTGTAATTAATTCTCGGCTGCGCTTGGAGTGATCACAAGATATTTCGAATAGAAAATAGATTTTTAGAAAATAGATTTTTCATGTGAACGGAGTCTTAGACAGATTTAAGTGATTTTTTAGTTTTTGCTCATTTAACCAAAGTATTACTCAGTCACGTTTTAGCTTGTAAGAAATGTCTTCTACCTTGTTTTAATTGAATTCTCACCATGATTTCATGTCACTTTAGAATTGTTCATTTACAGGTTCTATGTGAATGAATTTGCTTTAATTAAAGTATATTTTCATTGTATTAATTTACTGTCTCAACATCTGGTAGGATATAGATTAGCTGACTAGCTAGAATTTGTTTTTAATTAACTGAAGGGTATATGCTTTATTGCATTATCATAATGAATTGTTTCCTGCCTTCAGGACCAACATTACAACACAGTAGTGGTCAGCATCCCAGGACAGAGCACCAAGCTGTCAGACATCTTTGGTTTCCTGGAGAGAGCGAAAGAGGACTTAGGGATAGAATATTATGGTGTATCACAGACATCACTGGACCAGGTGGGGTCATCCTATTTTTACTGCTTTGTGTTAGGTGTTTAAGTTTACATTTGTTGGTATATTTGCATATTGCACTGTAAACGTGTAGCCAAATCATTAACTAGATTATCCATTTTTGACAAAGTATTGTTATTTTTAATTTCACAACCATGAGTTTGTTTATCATGCTTGCACAGGTGTGACTGTTATAATAAAGTTAATGCCTCGCTTCAATTTTGACAGGTATTCGTCAACTTTGCCAAAAAACAACATGATGGCATCACAGATGAAATGGAAGATGAAGAAAATGAACAGGGCAGTACTTCAGGCCAATGTCAAGACCCAGAAAATAAATTTGTTGATTACAACAATGCACCTCCACCAAAGTCACACATTTTATATGAACAGAATATAGTGCAGGTGGCACCAGATTACTTGGAATTGGCAGCAGAGAAAGCCAAGACAAAACCTCTTCCTCCTCTGAACATCAGCCCTGGGAAACTCCCTCTGATAAATGAGAGTTCTCTAAAGAATGGCTTAACTGATCCAGTGGTTGTTGCAACTGATGAAAACTTACCACCCAAACAGCAAACAGGGTCACAGATATCTGTGAAGTCCAAGTCCTCTAACGAAACAGCTTCCAGCTCTGGCGTAAGCAGGAAACAATCTGAAGTTGCCGCTGATGAGGTTCTGACCACCAAGCAACTGACAGAGTCACAAGTGTCTGTGAAACCAGGTTCTTCCAAGCCTGCATCAGCCAGCAGCAGCACCAGACCACAGTCTAGTGATTCAGCTCATTTCAAACAAAATGGATCTCAACTATCCGTCCAATCAGGATCCTCCAAATTGTCCAGGCCAGGGTCTGGGATGGTGACAACTGGATTGGGCAGCCAAAGTACTCTAGTTCCAGTGGAATCTGTTTCAGAGCAAACAACCATCCCCGAACTGCATACATCTGCGTCAGTTGAAAAGCAGAAGACGGAAATTTCTGTGGCGACTGCTAGAGGGGTCAACCCTGGTTTACCCACCACTCCTGCACCAGTGGAACCCTTGGAAGCAGACTTAACTGGAACAAACTTGTAAACTGCTTCACAGAAGTACCTTTTGTGTCCTGTTTCTATATATTTCAAGAAAGGATTATCTGGAAAAAGGTTTCTTTTTTGTTTAAAGTGCTATAATTGAAAACAAATATCAATGCAAGTTGAAATGTATTCTGCAAGATGTCATTTTTTCATCATTATTTACACCATGAAGAAAAACATATATATATATCTAAGTGACTGCATACCTTTTTTATATACTGTTACATATGTATTTGAAATTGGATCTAACTTTAAAATATCCATAAGTCTTTATCTAGATTAATGTTTTTATCATTTAAAATGGTCTTGAAATTACCAAAAGGTGGTTTCAAAATTTTTTATTGTTGATTATTGGTAACTTTTTGCTCATTTATCTTTTTTAGTGATGCCGTCCTAAATTTTCCAACTACGTATGCTTTTTATGCATTGTTATATACGTAGATGGATTTTGTGAATTCTATTTCGTACATGATGCCATCCAGAAGTTATCAACTACACTTTTATGTATTGTTTTTAATGTGAAGATTGAGATAAATATATAGATATAATTTATAGATTCATATTGTTTTAGAAAGGAGCCCTTTTCATCTAGTTTAAAGATCAAACATATATTTTGGAAGTATTTAGGGTTTGCAGGCCCAGACAGCTGGATTGTGTGTTATTTTTTATATTTTTTATACAGATAGATATGCTTCTATGTGTTGTGTTTTTTGGAATGTATTATGTTATCTTGACTGGAGCAAGATATATATTTGGAAATGTATTAATAGAAAGGAATTTATGTTTGAATTACCTCATGGATATAGTTCATATATTTTACCTTTAACGTTTGTGTTTTTTACATTATTTTGCTGACCAGATGGCCTTGTCAGAGTATTCACCTCCAGATGAGAGGACATGGGCACCAGTCCTTTATAAACAATATCTGCTGTCTCCACACTTGGTTCTCAGTACTAAGGGGTTGAATCAGGGGTAAAGTTCCTGGTCAGACAGTAAAATGGTATCGTCTGTTTGCTAGCTTGAAGGTGGGAACATCTATACACCCAGACTGTATCAGGGCCAAAATATCTCTAGGCGTCTAATGTAAACTGCACAGAGATGCATGTGAAGTGTGGAATATAAACATTGGACTTTTACTTTTGTTTAACTTGGCCATTCACCATGGTTCACTTTGTATAAATTTGTAGGGCATTACATATGTGTTATGAAATATTAGGAAGTATATATTTATGATATGTTTGACTTATAGGAGACTGGAGTTTTTTCTTCCCAAAGGAAGCAGATATGATTTTATTGATGTGAGATATATATATATATACTTACATACTTGTTATTTGAATGTTACCATCACGATAGTTGGGGAATTGTATCCTGTCGTATGCATTTAATAAAGGTAATGTGCTCTTTGAATTAATCGTCCGCTAATGTTTCATTATTTCCATTAACGTCGTACTATTCGTAGTATGGATGACAAAATCGAAAAAATCTCTCCAGTGAAAGTCAAAGCTGTGACCAGTGAGATTTTTATATCTGAGGATAAACTGAAAACGACAGTCTCGGTTCGCAGTTTTCTTTTCATATCTATGTATTCTACCGGGTTATGTATCGTTTGAGAATTTTTATGCCAACCACGAACGGATATATAGGCCTATGGTACTTGGCGGTTTTTCAGATTCCAATTTGTCCCCGCAAACAGACAATTCTTTCCAGTCTTACAAAGACGAACTTGCAGTTATGACTTTGTAAGTGTTTCTTGTCTACATAAAAATCGGACAACATGATGCGACTCAGTGGTTTGGTAAACCCGTGTTTTAAATTTATTAAATTTCTTGCCCTCCAGTCCGCTGGGGCGCGGTGCCACAAAGTACCTATAATATTAATATAATATGATGAATTTATTCATTCGGTATTTTCACTACCTGACTGATGTACGAACATCTCCAACTGCCGTTAGCTAGTGACCTTCAGACCACGGCTCGACAGCTGTTGAAGTAGCAAGATGGGAAATAAAAAATACATATTACAAGATAATGTCGGTATCACGACTTGGCATCCATCGCGTCGTTTGATCACGCTATTCGTTATTTTGTGATAAGGTGAAATTAAACCAAAACTGTGAAACTGTTGATGTGCACCTGTTTCAATTACTTCTAGTCTACATATTTGATCAAATTTAATTTACAACACAGGGAAGACTATTCTCACTGAATCCCTCATCGGCGCTTATGATTTTGATGATCCCCCCAGTAGGTAGGCCTTTTTTTTTTAATCAGTGTTGTCTCGGACATTTGCAATTTCTGATAGGTGCATCTCCTTCAGTAAAATTAATATGTACGTAAAGGTAAGGTAGTTTTTTTTTCTCTATTTCTGGTTGAATAATGAAAAAATTACCTTCTTGTAAGGTATTAAAATGTCTTATGCGCGATCGTTTTATATGGAAACGATCGATACAGCATAAAGATTCTTATAATGCGTGCGCGGATTCGGCCATAAACGGTCATCTATTTCTTTCTTTTTATTATATATAGTAGACGCCAGGCAAAATTGATAGCTAGCTAAGATGGTTAACTAGCGGCAACTCTGTACACGGGTTAGTCGACAAAATTTAAATTTGTTTCTGCTTTACCAGGGGTGTAGGCCTATATTAACCATGTGCACTTTTTCGTAGAAGAGATTTGTGTCATGGTCAGAGACAAATCTGTGAATGTCTAGAGAAAAATCAATATTTGATCCTGGTAGAAAGTAGGCCTATAAGGTTTGAAAAGCAGTATGTCTCTCCATTGTTATTTAGAGGGAAGAAATCTCACTAGTGTGGGTAGTTTTAGAACATAAAAATAAAAGTAGGCCCCTAGAAGTAGGCTTGGTTTTAGAACATACAAATAACAATAAAGCTTTTTCTTGGGTTAATAGTAAATATCTTTTAGATACAAAACCAGAACCCAATGCCTTTTTTTCATTTATAAAAATAGGTGAAAAAATCTTGATTCCCTCAAAATTATTTTCGTACAGTCGCATTCGTTATGATAAACCAACCTATGAATTTTTTAAAATTAAGGTTTTTTTTATTTAGTGCTCCTTATAGACGGATCTGACATTAATTTATAAGTATTTCACGAAAGAAAAAACTAAAACATAGAATTATAGGCTTATATTTCTTAAAACAAATTAAATTATTTAATTTGGGTAGGGTAGTGGCGCGTTCAATCTCGTGAGGGGTGTCGGCCGGACTCCATTGGTCAGTAACCCCCATGTTACGGGGATAAGTGGCGTGATCGATCTGGTGAGGGGTGTTGGCTGGATGTTATTGGCCAGAAACTCTGATATTAGTTAGTTACACTTAGAACGATCTTCATTCACTCACACGATACTCAGAAGATACACGCCGTTCTAGTTCTTCAATAGGAAGACGCAACTCCGTCAACCGTAGGAGTTAAAGTAAGCGTTTTTATTTTATTGATAAGTTAGTGATTTTTAAGGTTGTTTTAATGTTAAGTTATAAGATTAAGTTCGTAAACATACCTTAAATTGCTGCCGCGACGATCTTTGATAGCGTTCAGTGTCATTTAACGATGCAAATTTACTTAGGGTGATTTCGTGTTTGTTTTCGTTTGCGCAATGTGTCACTACAATTTATCTGGCGTATTTCATTGTATAAACCCTCTGTAAAAGCTATATTCGATCGTAGAACGGCTATTTAGCTTAGCGCAAACTTAGGCCTACTGTATTAGCGACGTGATGCAAGTGATATCGTTTAGAGTTTAGCGTGTCCGCAAACTTATTGTTGGTTCCCGTTTTCAGGTCATTGCGAATCTGTAGCACGTTCTCAGTACTGCTTCGCACGTTTTAGCCGGTGACACCACTTCTTGTAAGAATTTATATTTGTTTATCTAGTACGGTAATTGCTGTTGAATTTAGTACAGATAGGCCTACATGTAGTATTGTGAAATGGTATTGCATTTAAGCTTTAGTACGAAAAACGTTCTTTAAAATTGCTCACTTTTATTACCGTACCTACAGTTAAGTTTTATAGAGCATTCTTAATATCATCACGACTGTGTTACCGTAGTTAGCCTTCAGTTTTTAGACGAAATAGTTTTGTAGAGTTTACTTTGTTATTGTCTTTGTAGGGTAGACCGGGGCTAAACGCCCCCCTTAAGCAAGAAACATCACAATAGAGTCTTTTCCACGAAATCGTGAGCATGCGCAGTTCGCGCCATTTTGTGCGGGACTGTTTCTCAGGGGGAAAGAGTAGAAGGGGCCTTCGGTACTTTTGTAGTATACCCCCCCCCCCCCCACCCTGTAACTTTCTGTAACTTTCACTTTTCAAACAGTTTTTTTACATTTTATTGTTTATCTATGTCAAGGCTGTTGAAATAAAATGCTTTTGTAATTACCTGTGGACTTTTTATTATGGTCTATTCCCACAACTTTAGATCGATCTATCACCGCGGGGAGTCTCACCAGACTACCGTCAGATAATCCCCCTTAAGTGTCCGTCCCCGCCCACTACAAGCCGTAAGGGGCAATTAACTTTCGTGTCCGCCCGGCTGACAGCTATTCAGCGCGAACCCCCAGGGAGTTAGGTCGATCCAAAGTAGGTCGATCTAATCTATGGAAATGGGGTGTTAGTGTTAATCACGTTTAATCCAGCCCATTGAAATACAAAGTTAGAATCTTCAATTTACACCCGCAGTCAATAACTTGCCGCATTTTCGTTGGCTAACTCTAGGGTAATTTTATGTGAACAAGTAGCTCATAATAATTTTACAGAGGAAATCTAAGTATACAAAGTATCAATCCTATGTTCACATAAAATAAGGTAGAGTTAGCCAACGAAAACGCAGCAAGCTGAGATTACATTGTAAATTTTCACATTGTATTTCAATGGGGTGGATTAAACGTGATTAAAACTAATAAAAAGACCACAGGTAATTACAAAAACATTTTATTTCAACAGCTTTGACATAGGTGCAAA